CCGCGCCTCCCCCCGCCGGCCGCAGGGAGCCGGGCCGGGCTGGCGGGACGCAGCCGCGGAGCCCGAGGGAGCAGCGGAGCCGGGCAGTCCCGCGGTGCAAAAGCCATTTGCTGCCCGAGGCCCGCCCGGCTCCCTGCGCTGCTCGAGCTCCTCCTAGCTCCGGCCTGGCAGCACAGGCGGGAAGGAGGGAGAAGTGGCGGCGGCGTCCACCCCACCCCGCCGGGCTCACATGATCCGGCGAGCAAACAAACAGCGGGGCAGAGCGCCCGTCACAGCCAAGGAGACGCCGCGGAGAAGGGGCGCTCGCCACGGGCGGCTCCGGGCAAGGCCCCGCGGCCGCAGAGCCCCATCGCAGCCTCCCGGAGCCCGGCCCGCTCCGCTCCTTGTGGGCAACTCCGCACCCATTACAAGCGGTAGTTGCACCGAGGGGCCCCCCTCTCTCCCCCTTCGCTTCCTAGTTCTGCTTAAGATCGGGACAGCCACCTCATGAACCATTTCATCTAATTCGGTGTCAATCCAGAACAGTGCGAACGTTTCTCCCCCCCAAAGTCACATCAATGGATAAATAAAAGCTGTCGCGGACTTCGTCAGGCAAAGCCCAGGTAGCAGGGAGAGAACAGCCCGAGTTCAGAGGTAAGACACAAAAACTCCAGATGTAAAAAGCTGGACCAGTCCAGTGATAAGAAACCGAGGCCAATGAGATAGCACCAACATTATAACCTCTGAGCATCTAATCCAGCGAAGTCTGAGTAACAGAAGGAAGGGCTTTTATTAATACTGTACTCCTAACACACCCAAACAAGCTTAGGGAAGGGGAAAACAGTATCTAGCCAGTTCAGCTAAAGACTGAGAAAGTTGCCAATTATTTCGGTGTTCAAGGAGCCTTCCAGCAGACCAGAGCAGCTCAGACCTGACATCCTCTATATACTTTATGGAAGAATGAATTAAAAAGCTCTTTAAAGTAACTCTTGCGCTTTTCAATACATCATAAAAGCAGCTTCTCCCAGAAGAGATGCACAGCCCCTCAGCAGGTTTTGTGGGTTTTTAGAATATGTTCATATCACACCTTAAATCCCAGCATAAGCAGGACCTTAAACAAGTTTTTTCCAATTGTGTTATATTAACTTGATCAAGACAAAGTTAACAAAAAGCACATCACCTGCCTGCCAAGAAAAGGCAAACAGCTTCAAGATTCATCCCTTGCTGCTGGTTAAGACATCTAGATACACATTAAAGAAATGGCATTACAAGCCTAATTAGAAAGATCCTCTTTTCTTTCAGCTTCTCAATAATTAATTTTGCAACATCATTTTTATACTTCAAGCCCTGAACCAAAAAAGGTGAAAAGCAAGCAAAAACAAAACTAAACAGAAAAACCCTACAGTACAGACCTTCAGGAAAATCTGAGATCTTTTTTCCAGATATTTTAGTTGGTCTAATAAAAGAGATTGGATTTATCCACAGAACCTTACCTGCCTATGTCCTTAAACCATCAGAGCTACAACTTACACCCCTACACACCTTCATGCACCTCAAGAAAGAAAAAAAGAAAGGACCAGATTAAGGGTCAGGATGAATGTCCAATGCTGTAGCCCTCTACAAATGGGAGCCTGAACTAAGGGAGAGAAAATAAGTCAGAAATGATCCACTTCGGCACCCTAGGCAAAATGGAAGCTGGACTTCAGTTTTTTTTCCCCTTAAAAACTGAGAAACGTATATATTCACATGTAAAGAAGCAGTCAGAGACAGAAAGCAGTTAAAGCAGATGCACAGTAGGAAGGAGCTAGAGGTTGGATAGAAAGATGGAATATTCCCACTGAAGACTAAACTGCAGTACAAATATCAACATGAAAAAGGAAGTAAGCTAGGAAAGATACCAGGCTGTGCCTCCAAAGTTGGAAGTTTTATACATGCACAGACCAAGATAATCCTGGTTTTGCAATTTCTAGAGGTCCAACACACACATACACCCTTCCCACCCATCTCCTCACTCAAATATAAACAATCTTGTACACTGCTAAATATTTAACAATATTAAAGTTCAAGACAAAAACAAAAAGATGTGTATTAGCTATCCAATTTGGCAGTACAAAAGACTTTGGACAGTAGTTAAAAAGCAACTTGAGTGAGATAAAGGTAGAAAACATATAAAAGGGTGTGTTGGGCCATGCAGTCTTTACAGTTTGATATAAATACAGTCCTTAACAGTATTTAAATATAATAAATTTGAGCTCCTAAAGGAATGTAACAGGGTAATGTGGCCCATGTACAAAAGACATCAGACAAGAGGCATGCAATAGAAAAACTGTTTCAGGGATACTGTTTTGGGAGTCACTGATCTATAAAAATGAAGGGAGGGAAGTTATGACTTCACATTAGAAAAAAACCATTGGGATAGTTCTTCAACTGTGAAAATGATACTTAAAAGATACTGGCATAACTGTGGTTCATTTTTATCATGCCTTAAACTGAACATGTGGCCACTTGTACCCAGGGACCTGTCAAAACCCTGTGCACCACCCAGCTGGGCACTACACATGGCTTTATAGATCCCAGC